GACAGACAGATGAAGCCCCATGTGGGGTGTGCGTGCGTGCGTGTGTGTGTGTGTGTGTGTGTGTGTGTGTGTGTGTGTAAAGGGTGGGGCCCATCCTGGGAAGCGGAGTTTGCAGAGCCCTACTTTAGACCTTCTCTGAGGTGGTTTCCTCAGCCTGGCCTTGCGAAGATGACCTGTCTTCCACCCTGGCATGACCCGGGCTTCCCTCCCTGTCCCATGCTGCCAGCTTTGCCAGGCCTCAGAGCACAGCAGTTTCCGGTTATTCTCTGCTTTCTCCATCAGCTCAGTCTGGCTCCATGAATGTTGAGATTTGTGCTGCCTTGTTTCAAGTTTCAAAAAATTATAAATTTAAAGTAAGTTTGAAAAACAAAACAAAACATTTAAAAATATTCCCTTTATCTTTCAGGTTGTGAGTCAGGGATAAATTCTCTTGAAATTCTTAAAAACAAAAGGCCAAGAATAAACTGGGTTCCTTTTCCAGCTCATTTCCTGCATTTGCATGCATAGAACCCAGTATGTTTTATTGTTATTGGTTTTGTTTGTTTTTGTCTGGTGCCTGAGTTTCCTGGTGGAATCCTTTGACTTTTTTGCATAATTTTCTCAGTTTTCTTTGAAGGCTTCGGAATCTGCTTTCTGTCTTAGCCACTTTAAGTTTCTGTATCCTTAGGCAAGTTATTTAACCTCTCTCAGACTCACTTGTGTCAAGTGTAGAGTGAATAAAAGCTCCCGGGGTTTGTAGGAGTCTAAGTGAGTTAATTTGAGTAACGGGTATGGAACAGAGTTGCTGCTCATCAGTCATGAGCTCCCCAGCCTCCTCTCATTGCTTTCCTCCCATGTGCAGGAAACCATGGCCATGGTAGATGTCCTCGCTGCTCATAGTAAATGATTGTCACACAGAAGGAAAAAGAATAAAAAGCACTCTGTTAAACAGAAGGAAAAAGATAAAAATCAATTTCTGAATAAATTCATTCATGCATTCAACAACAACACATTGGGCAGCTGCCATTTGGCAAGCACTGTGTGTTAGGCAAGGGAGAAACACTGGCAGATAGTGGACAAGCCATCATTCTTGCCATCAGCATAACAGATCATAACCACTACTAGTCAAAAGTGCAATGATGTGAGTAAGCTCTGGCCACCATGGGACACACAGAAGGAGCGTTATCCAGTGTGGGAGGCCCTAGAAAATCTTTGGGAGGAAGTAATGTCTCAGCTGAGAACTGAAGGATGAGTAGGGCTCAGCCAGGCCTCACCCACCGTGTCCAGGCAAGATGAGCTGAGAGTTGGTTCTTGAGTGGAGTCATTTCTGTGGAATTGCATTAGCTCTTGTGCTTTGAGTGCTGACCTCCAAACTCCAGTGTACGATGATGCTATTTGGAATGAGTTTGCCTTGGTTTGGGGGCTGTGTGTAATTGAGACAAGATGGGAAAGGAAAACTTTACAACTTATGAAGCCAGGAATGCATCTATGAAGGGAGTGTCAGGAAGGTGAGTTGGACTGAAAATCAGAGTTCTGGTCTCCCTGTCTTTGTCTACCAGATACACAACCCATCTTTTGACAGGTATGGATGGTAGCTGCAAAGAATTCATTTATTTAGCCAACAGATATTTGTTGCATGCTGACCATGTGCCAGTCAAGGTACAAGCCCTTGGGATAAGATAGGCAGATTTGTGACGGGACCCCTAACCTCAAGAAACCCAAAACTAGGAGCAAATGTTCTTTCCATGGCAGGTGCGGTAGCTGGCAAATTTAATACATTATTACCTGGCAAATTTAATACATTATCTCATCTGAGATCACTCCATCCATTTTTATAGATGCAGAAAGCAAAGCTTGATTTGGCACAAAACTTGCTTGAGGTCTCATGGCTAGAAAGGGTGAAGTTGGGTTTTAAACCAGGTCTATCACAGAGCCCTGTGGTTTTTCCACGTAGTCACAGACATGAGATGATGCAACGCCACAGAGGATGGAGTGTGGTAGGTTTCAGCATACTCTAAGAGCACAGAGGAGGGTGTATAATGCTGCTTCCCACAAGAGGTGACCCCTCTCCACCCAGGTATCATCTTTTTCTAAATATATACATTTTATTACTTTTCCTGCTTAACTCTGTCCTTAGCACTTTTCTGCCTTACCTTCTGCTATCTCACTCCATATTACCTGCTTGCTGGGTGGGTTGGAGGCCACTAGGCATGCCCTTCTTACCTGCTTGCTGCGTGCTTCCACAGTTCTCCCTGTTGAAGTCCCACCCATCAATCCAGACTACCCCTGCCACAAAGCTTCCTTGAGCCATTGCTTATATTTGTTGTTATCATAAGATAACACTTTAGGTGCATGTCTTAACTTTTTTCCTATAATTCAAATTCTTTCAGAAGGTGGATCTCACAGAGTTAGGTGGATTAGCAATGTATGTTAAGTGCTTATTACTAGTAGGTGCCAAAATGAAGCTTTTTCTTATTTTTGTCCATCTTTGATTCTTTCAGGACTCCCAGCAGTGCCTTTTTATAGTCCTTTGGCAAATGTTGGGAGAATTCAATGGAAGCCAGTAGCAAAAGTTGTCTTCTTCTGACTCCTGAAGGTACCTGCTGCTGATAGGATTAGTTGGGCTTCTAAGTAGAAGCCAGGGGCATCTGCCTGGCCCAACTGCCTCTTGCCGTTGGTCCCTGCACACTCGCAATGGGTCATGATGCTCCTTAGATCAGTATATTAGACTGCAATGCTAACGAGGCGAAAGGCAGGGGTCACACTCGTAGCTCACAGTGCTCCATGCCTGTGGGTGAAACCTCTGCCCTTGGCTACTACCTGGAGAGCGTGAGCTGTTGCTGGTGACAGGGTCCAAGTGTTAGAGAGCGAATGACCAAAGCACATCCATCACAGCTTTTGGATAGGGTACAGGCAAACCGCACAAAGAACCTGCCCTCGGGGAGCTGACATTCAGGTGAATTATCTCATTTAATCTCATAACAAGGTCTTTGGAGAGATGCTCTCATTATTCCCACTTTACAGACAAAGAAACTGAAGCTAAGTGAGGTTGAATGATTGGTCCAACACTGTAGAGCTAAGTGCTAGAACCAGGATTGGAACACAGGGAGTTTGCTCTACAGCCCAAGCCCTAACCCACCGTGTTAGTTAATCTTCTTCCCTTATTATATGTGAGATAATTCAAACATGTAAATATCTATCTATATATATACACCATGTTTCCCCGAAAATAAGACAGGGTCTTATATTTATTTTTCCTCAAGAAGACACCCCAGGGCTTATTTTCAGGGGATGTGTTATTTTCCCCTCAGAGTCTCAGCTTGCAGCACGCACAGGATGGCCAGGACCTGACAGGGGGAGCTGACCTTGCTGGTGGGGCTGCCCGCACCTTTCTGGTCACCTCTGGGATAGTAGCTGTCATGATGGGGCAGATGAGAAGGGCTGCTCGTCTTCTTTACTGCTCTACCAGGAAATGCATGGGTCGTGCAAATACGCTGTGTAGCCATGCCTATCACTAGGTCTTATTTTCGGGGTAGGGCTTATATTATGCAAATGCTTAGAAATCCTGCTAGGGCTTATTTTATGGGTAGGTCTTATTTTCAGGGAAACACGGTAGATATTCTTAGGTGTGTATATATATCTGTATAGGTGACTATGTATATGTATATGCATATTTTTATAATTTTTTTTCTAATTGTAATAATGCTCATTCTTTAAAGAAAATTTGGAAAATTCATGAAAGTAAAAATAAAAGAAGTGACCTATTAGCCTACTATGCTGGAATCCTCGTCATTCTGATGCATCTCCCTTCAGATAAACAGATAGGAGCACATCTAGGTTTTGTGTGGCACACTGCTGCCTTCACTTAAACGCCTAACACTGCCGTGTGTGTTTTCATTTTAATAGAGATGTCAAAGGCTGTAGTAATCAGAATTTGAAGCCTTTGTACCTTTCTTTCATATTAAGAAAACAGCACACATGGTGTACAGCTATCCGTTAGCAAATCGGCGGCTTGGCTTCCTGGGTGCAGTGACTGTAACGGGAATGCGGGTGTGGAACTAGGGCAGTTGGGAAGCGTTGCCCTTCCTGGGGATGTTACTAGGAATTTTCTCCTTTCGCAGCACTTCCTTTTCTCTAATCCTCCCCAATGAAGAGCCTATTAAAACCTTTGGATAAACTCTTCAGAGTGTATAAAATTGACACAAACACGAAGAACTTTGGGATGTCAGGACAACATCCTTTTGTGGCCATTTTCCCCTTGGATGCCACCATGACCTAGGTGACATGGTCAGGGCAGATGTTATCATTTCCATTTGATAGGTCAAGAAGGCTGATGCACAAGAGATTGGCCCAAGACTAAATGACACTGTACGTTGCAAAGGTGGGCTGGCACTGGGCCTCACCTGCTTCCTGGGGAAGTGCTGGACTGAGCCCTTCACAGGTTCCTGAAGCTGCTTCCACCGTTTGTTTCTAGACTTTTGTCATCGTCCCTTGGCCACTTCTTCATTCTCTGAAGACCTTTCCTCTGATCTCATGGTTTATCTGCTTGGTTACACATTTACATTTAAAAAGGCACCTCAGTGCTGATGTTGGGAGTAAAAGTGACACTATACATAACTGATAATTATTGACTGTTTAGTATGTGCTAGAGAAAAGTAATGCTGTACAAGCCTCTGCTCACCTACTTTGCATCAACCCCATGGACCCGGTAAACGGAAGGGCTGAGATTTGCTGTCTTTAAAGCCTGACCTCAGACAAGATGCTACATACAGTATTTTTAAAGGGGAAAGGGAAGAATATAGGGACAGAGCCATTGAGCTGTTGGGGTGCTATTTTTTAACTGTAAAGATGTAGAGTCTGTATACAACTTCTCACTAAGCTTTGAAACCCATATGCTTCACTGAGGGAGCCCCCTATGAAGGATTGACCTCCATACTCATCCCTGCTGAAGTCACCCCTTTCTTACCCACTGCTTGCCACAGCCCCTTTTCTGATATGTGTTTATGCTTCTTTTCCTACAGGAGGAAATATAAGAAAACGTCCCAGAGGTAAGGATATCTTTCTGAGCTGTGATTGGTTGAATCATTTGTGGCCCAACTCTTCGCAAGTCTGGCTTGTGGTGGACTGAAATTGTAATAAACAGGCTCTTGGTTGCATCTCAGCATGTTGCTTGCTTTATCTCCCGATCGCTGTTGCTGCTGTAATTAAAAATTGATCGCAGGCATCTAGTGTGGCACAGTAGGTGGACACCTTCACATGAGAGTGGATCCTGTGGATTCAAAAACTTGTTCCTGCTGCGTTGTCTACTGATTTCACTGAAACCTTGACCGGAGAGGGACTGGGCTGGCAGAGGCTGAAGGCTTATGGAGGGGAACACAACCAGGTCTTTAAATACACTTTTAGTGTCTGAATTCCCCTTTGCCTGATTTGCAGACAAAATGCTACAGAGCTCAAAGTATAAGTTCAGACTGCTTTAAGGGCAGTGGTAGTCCTTTGATTTGGCTGTGGAAAGGGTTATTTTAAGCAGAACACCATCTGCCATCACCCCCTGTGTACCATGGAAAGTGAATCTACAAAGATGAGGCCCCAGCCTGGCTCAGGGCTGTGCTTTGCAGACCCTTGGAGTGAGGAGCCATGGTGGGATCCGGTGTACACTGGCCCTGGCATGTGTGGCTATTAAACTTTGGACTTACATCCTCTGTGTTTATAGTTTAACAAAAATGATTCACCAGGTCTTTGAGTGCATGGTCTCCCAGCACCAGTGGGAAGCACATTTTAATTCCTCATTAAAGTGCCCTTTGACAGATGTTGTTTGCTGATTTGAAGGGGCAGCATGTGTATTTGTGCAAGCATACAGGTTGTTTATATGGAGAGGGTGGGTGGATTCTCTCAATAATAAAATAATGAAATGAGCTTAGGAAATGTCAGGTACTTCATGGTGGAATTTATTCATTGGTTTATCTTTTAAAAATTATACATATTTAAGGTATATAATATGTTTGAGATATATATATATAAACACATATTAATATATATACACACATAGTATAATAATTACCACAGTCAAGCAAATTAACATATTCATTACCTTACAAGTTCATTCATTGGTTCATCTTGCATGCACTGTTTTTTGACAGTGATTTGTTTTCATAAGTTTAATTGGACAATAATAGCACAGAAGGCCTCCCATGACTGCCTTTATTTCTCTAGCATCATCTCTTGCCACTTCCAACCTCTCCTCTCCATTTCTTAAACTTTAGTGATGGCTCTCCATCAAAATTGTGATTCTAAAGGTTCAGCTGATCATGGATGCTCTCTTAGGATGAGCTTCGGTAAACTCTTAGTACATGTATTTATCTTAGGTGTATCTAAGGGTGTAAACCTCAACTGTGTTGGGGGCTTTTCTTGAATTAGGTGAGACAAAGTACATCAGTTTCAAAGTTACCCAAGAAATTAGTCAGGCCACCAGCGAGTGGATAAATATTGCTTGTTATGATAATATATTGTGTTTTTGAACAGGCTGATGCTTTCCTCATGTATGCTATTCCTTCTTCCCTGCCTGAACCCTGGCCCGTCTCGTGTTTAATACTCTTTGAACTATGTCTGCCTTCTGTGTGCTCCTGTAGCTGCCCTGGTCTCTCCTTGTTTCTCCTTGCCCAACTGAGAGCATCTTGTCTATTATGCCTTTCTGGTGTCTCACGCAGTGTGTGGAATATAGCAGCCCCTTAGTAAATGTTGTTGAATGCATAAATACTAACTGTTCTTCTTAGGGACTGTGCTCTTTTAAATCGATGTGTTTTTCAGACTGTTGGTGATGGCACTGAGAAGAAATGCCACAGCTGTATCTTATACAACTCAGTTGAATTGATTAAAACATAAACCTAAGTTATTTTCCCTTAATCTATAGACTCCCTATTTTACATACTAAATAACATCATGTGAATCTTTCTAGGATTTTTTCAGGAAAAGTCTGAATGAATTCTAGAAGCGTCAGAATTGGGATGGCATGATCCAATGAAAACCTGACAAGAGTACTATTTCCTATGGCTCATATTATTTTCTTAATAAAAACAATGCTCTAACATAAGTCTAGTCCCATGGGCCTCTCATTAAGGAGAGGCATTGGGAATGTACAGTTGTGCTGTATAACAAGGTTTCAATTAACAACAGATTATATATACAACGGTGGTCTCGTAAGATTATGATGGTGCTGAAAAATTCCTATTGTCTAGTGACTTAGTAGCTATAGTAACAGTGTAGTGCAGATCATTACGTTTTCTATGTTTAGATGTGTTTAGATATACAAATACTATTGTGTCAAATTGCATACAGTATTCAGTACAGTATGTATATATTCAACATGATGTACATCAACATGATGTACATGATGTACATGTTTAGATGTGTTTAGATATACAAATACTATTGTGTCAAATTGCATACAGTATTCAGTACAGTATGTATACATTCAACATATGTACATCAACATGATGTACGTGTTTGTAGCCTAAGAGTAATAGGCCCTGCAACATAGCCTGGGTGTGTAGTAGGCTCTACAATCTAGGTTTCTGTAAGTACACTTTATGATATTCGAACAATGATGAAAGTGCCTAAAGACACATTTCTTAGAATGTAGACTCATCATTAAGAGATGCATGACTGTACTTAATGCAGGTGCCAAAATATTTATTCTATTTTATTGAGAAGAGTTTGGAAAGCACGTTCTAAAGAAATAGGGTTGTTTAGACTTTTGGTTCACCAAGTGCTTGGAGCCCACAATTCAGTCTAAAAGGCAAGTGTCTGCTTTTCATTGTATTTGACTTTGCTATTACAGAATTAAGCAGATTACATGCAGATAAAAAAATCACTAATGTAATTAAAATCTGCCAATAGGTTTCAACAATGACATTTTTAGATGACCATTTTAATCTCACCTTTTCTAATGAGCATTATCTGCTGTGTCCTATGGTTTCCAAATAGTCAGTAGTCCAAAGGAGCAGTATTATAATTTGTTATGCAATGTACGGTGCACAAGTCATTGAGAGAAAAATGAACTAAAACTTTAAAGCTTCCTGGAGGTTGCTATACTTTTTCTAAATATAGTGAGCTTACACAGATGGCTAGCCAATTCTGTCTTGTTCAGGTTCATTGGACTCACAATAGTAATTGCATGTGAACCACTGAGCAGGATGTAAATTAATCACTCAGATTAGAGGACACAGTAGTCTTCTGTAGTAAAAAGTAATTTATCATTTTCACATATACTTAACCTGGGTATGAGATGCCACAAAGTTGCCTCAATTTTATTTTAAGGAGGGATAGACAAGTGAGAGGAAGTTTTATAAGAGAGCTGCTCAAACCTGTCAAGGTTCAAATTACACTGTCAATTTTTTTTTGAGAGTGTGTTTTTGCATATCTGACCGTAAATGCTGTTGCAGTTTTTGTTATGTCACTATAATAAAAAACAGACTGCCTAGAACCAGATTCTTTGAAGTCATTTAATTTGCAAATTAGTAGAGGATTGGTTTGAACTCTTCTATTTTTAATCAGATACATATTTTTTGTATGAAATTGATCCATGTTCTACTAATGTATCATTGAATAACAAACCATTCTCAATTTAGTGGCTTAAAACAGCCACTTTATTTTGCTCACAGTTTTGTGGGTCAGAAATTCAGGAAGGACTTGGCTGGGTGGTTTGATTCTGACCCACCTGGTGTCAGCTGAGACTGCCAGGGCTGGAGAATCTATCGCTTCCATGATAGCTTCATGTCGGGGGCTTTGGAGATCCTTGTTTCTTCCTCTCTCCCTCTTTATCTGTCTTTCTCTCTCTCTCTCTCTCCCTCTCTTCCCATATGGCTTCTATCCTCTTGATTATTTCCACATAGCTTGGGATTCTTATTACATTGTGGTCTCAGGGTAATTGCCCTTAGCTGGCTTCCTAGGCCAAGTGTTCTAACAGACAGGAAGTGGAAGCTACTAGTCTCTTAATCATGGTCTGGGTCCAGAAACGGGCACAACGTCACTTCTGCCATATCTTCTTGGTCAAGCTACTGAACCCACCCAGATTCAAAAGAATGGGACATAGACTACATCTCTTGATGGAAAAAGTATTAAAGAATTTGCATTCTTCTTTAATCCATGTAGCAAACCTTCAGCCTTTTTCAGAAGGATCTTGCTTGAGATCTTTTCTGGGGATCTGTAGATGCAGAGTATGTAGATTTCTCATTGGGTGAATGGTAGATGATTTTAAGTATTTATTGACACCCCCAGTCAGGTGCTGGTCTGTTTGAATGTATGCTTGTCTATTTTATGATTCTTTTGGACTGGTAGTAGCTGTCTGTGATTCCTTTTTCATGTTAGGGACAAGCATACCAATGTAAACTCAACTGGTTAATTGGATTCTCACTGTAGTTATTTGGTTTAATAATTAGTCAAATAAAGCTGCTGGCTTCATGTAGGAAAACTAAATGACATAAATGGTATATTAGACAGCTTTAGATTACATAGATTTGATTTGGACATCAAGAGGAAGACAGCCCAGGCTACAAAAATAATCTAACTTTGTTTACACTTTTTTTTTTTTTGCTAAGTTTCATTTTATTTCATTTATACATTTATTTATCATTCAAAACTATGTTAAAGAAAAAAAACCTCCCAGCTTTCAAAGTAATCATCATCCTACTACCACTCAACTGAGGTAGTTATCTATCTTTAAGTATTTCATGAAGTACAAGGCATATCTTTGTAGCCCAAGGGAATATTTTGATGGTAGTGATTCTACTGATTCTTACTTTTACTTTTAACAGAAATGTACTCATCTCTTCCGAGAGCAGAATTTCAATAGAAGTAGTGATGTTATGTGTGTTCTTTACCAGGTGAGCAAGGGCACCAAATAGGTAGGAGGTAAGCTTCTCCTGGCACAGAAAGCCCTATTGGATTGAGTTTTAAATCTATGTGATTAAGGTGAACCATCCTTTAATGTTATGAATGAATCTTGTCCATGAGGGCCAGTCATTCCAAGAGATTTGCAGAAGTGGTGAAATAGTAATTTGACAGCTAGAGAAGATTACACGGTAAGCCTGCTTACCCAGAAAATTCTCATCAGGTTGCTTTTAATACAGCTTTACCTTTAAGTTATCAGATCTGGCTTGAGGAGGTCTCTAAATTGAGAGAGCATGCCAGACCATGTACAAAATAATAGTAAATACATAGAAATAATTAGTTACTTCTGGACTGCCCTTAAAGAAAGGAATTGCTATCAGAGATGACATTGTAAACTGAATCTATATTAGAAGTGCTTCCAACACACACAAACACACACACACACACACACACACACACACACACACACACACACACACACACACACTCTCTCTCTCTCTCTCTCTCCTATTTTAGTTTGCTAGTGGGATGCTGTGATTGGCCAGCATAATTCAGAGGTAGAGGCACAAATAAAGACATATCCACAAATCTGAGGGACCTCTACAGACACATGTCCAATTTTCATGTGTCTGGACTGGGGAAATACTTTGCTGAGGATGGTTAAGAGTTGAACCACACCAGCTAGTGAAACCTTCATTAGCATGAAGTTTTTATTTATTTGTTTGTTATTAATTATAGCTCTGTTTAGACAGTTTAGGTAGAAATTCTGGCTCTTTATCTAATGCAAAGGCATCTCTCATCTCTTTGATGATTATATTCATAATGACATGCATAATACTTTACAAAAATCTTCTGATTTAACAAAATTTAATACTTACTACAGTATGTATTGGAAATAATAAGATATGTAAAAAATGCCTCCAAATAGGTACACAGGCTTGGAGGTAAGATACCAGTGAATAAAATAATTCTAATAAAATATATAAATCTTATATAATAGATATAAGTATTGAAGGTCATTGGGAGCAATCAGGTCTGTTGGGGTGATACTTACACTATCTTACGCTATTTTCTCGCTAGATTACAACATGAGCCTACAGTGTGGCTTATTCATGGTGCTTGAGAGTATGGGCATATTG